TCAAAAGTCAATCATACTTCGTTCCAATAACAAGTCTTAAAGTTAAGATTGTGACAATGAGTGAAAGTATTAAGAAGGTTTATAACATTCATCAAATGTGGAAAGTTGTGATGTCTTGGATAAGACAAAGGCCAACTAGGACCAATTTATGAAGTGTTTTGATAAAAGCTACACTAACTCTTGAATATTTGTTTGTCAAGAAATGTTTATTGACAAGAGAATCTTATATGTCAAGGAGTCAGTGGGAGTCTTAATGGTCTTGAAAGGTTTCAAGAACAAATCAAATAAACCTTATCGATCATCACTAGCACACGAGTTGAGGTTTACAACCTATCGTGTTGACATATTTTGTTTCTTGCTTCCAATTGAGTTAATTATGCATGTGAGTCCTATGAGTTCTCATTTTGAACGCATAAAAGGCAAGGCACCTTGATCAATGAAAGGTACATTGATAGGAAAAGGTGAGCTGCTTAACTACTTGGAAGACGTGGTGGGCAGCTGTGCTACCATAAGGCAAGAAATCAAGATTAAGAAAGTTCGGTCCATATGAGTTTGAATTTGTCGTAAACTTTGGTTTTAACAAATTCACATGGATAGGAACACATACACCGTTTAAATCTAAGTGTCATAAGATTTCCTCCTTCATGAAAATGATTGTGAGGAAATGCTTTCACTAAGAAAGATTTTAAGAAGATAGTGATTGTAAAGTTGCATTCTCGAATTCAATTATGGTTACGGTATCCCTTTCCATGATTTGAATTGTGAGGTTTGGCAATTAGTCTTAATTGTTTAGACACACATATGAACTATCTAAGGCAAAGGTGTATAAGCTTAAGAGGCCTTGATAAAAGATTATCAAAGCATTAAGTATTAGAAACATGGACTTAAGAAATTCAATAGGTATTGTTTTTCTGGGAAGTTAAGATGTTTTGAATACATGTCGAAGCTAGTGGAAGCATAAGTGTTGTGTTTTTTATAGTAATCATCATGATAGTGGGAGCATAAATGTTATGATTGTATGATTATTAAGGAAAGTATTGCAAGTTGGCAATATTAATTATAGAAAACAAGAGTCATTCTTTGCAAAGTTGTAAGGATGGAATAGTTGTTTTGCTATAATTAAGGGAGAGAATATTATGCTTCATTTCAAATCTAAAGGCTTAGGTTGAGAAATGTTAATAAATTTAGTCAAAGGTACATAGTGTGTTCTTAAAATTTCGATTATGATTACGGCATTCCTCTTCACAATTCGAATTTTGAGAACATAGCAAATAAAACATTATGCGTCGTGTCCCATACGCTTCGGGTATAGGATCGATTGCAAATGCTTTAATATTTGACCATTCTAAAATTTTCCAAATGTCTAGCGCATTTAGAGGAAAAAGGGACTAGAATGGTTTTGACTAAAATAATTAAACAACTATCAAAGGACAATCCAAAGTTCGACGAGGATTGGTTGCTTGTGAGTAGTTGGAAGCATGGTATTGGATGGACCATATCGACATTATTATGAATAGATAAGATTCTATTAAGAATGAGTTGTCATATGGAAAATATGGAAGCGTGTCCATATTGGGAATTGAATATTGAAAATCTATGTCTAGATTAGAAACTTTTATGCAAAAGGATGTTCAAAGGAATGTACTTTGAGTGAGAGACATCATATCTAAGGAATTGTCTTGTAACAATCTCCGATAGAGGACTTTGTAATATCATTGGCAATAGTCTTTGTGACTTTGGTGCAGTGACATTACGAAAGGATTGCATAGAATGTTAGAATCTAGCATATTCTATAAGTAGCAAGAATTTGATATTCTTTCACTTATGAAAAAGGATTTGGAGTTGTGAAATGAGAATGATTGGAAATGTGTTCAATTTGATCTATTTCACAAAGTAAGAACCATAGGTAAACATTGTGTGCATGCTAGGAGCATGGGACAAGTGTAATAATTCAAGTAAGAAGTTGATTACCCGAAACGACAAATAATGAGTAATCGATATGGTGATAAATAAAAGGAGTTTTATTTATACTCAAAGGGTTGAGGCCATATGGGATTAGTATTATTCTTGTGTTTCACTTTGCATGTTTTGACTTCCTGAATAATTTAATTGGTTAAGAACAATCAAATTATTCGAACGGGCCACAGTCGTTCATATGTTGGAAGTAGGTATGAATGAAGACTGTCGTGAATTGGTGTGTGGATTGTCTAAAAGAGTATTAGACATAAGCAAATGTTTGCTGCAACGTTCATGAGTGCTTATGAATATGAATTTGAGCATTGGATTAAACCCACGCTCACTTGGATCACTCCATGAATTGTATCACGAGTGATTGGTGAGACGATAACATCTTATATTCTTGAAACCGAGATGTGTGAGTTGTATCTTGCTAATCGGTTGCACATTGATAATATGAAAACGCACTAGTAACTTGGTGTTATAAAACATATTGTTGTGTGTGATTCGGTGAGTGAGTGCAAGCAAGCATTGTATCAAAGTTTATCCGTTCCTTTTATCCAAAGAAGGAAAAAGCGATATCTTTGGGCCCCTCGATGATTTAGTGATGACAAACGTAAATGCTCGGCCGGGCTAGGGCTAATTTGATTTGTTCAATTAGTCAGTCGTCATAAATCGGAGATCGAGAAATAGTACAAAGAGAATGATTGAAATCATGTCTTACGATATCTAGAATGGAGGAATATATGATCCCTTATCTAAGGACACGCGTATCTGATAGGATCAGAGTTGACAGCGGCTTTGGAAAGCTACGATTGCAGATCAGGATCTGAAGTCATACGCATAATAGTTATTAGACTTATCCAAGTGGGAGACTGTTGGATTAGTGTCTAAGTCCATAACTATTTTGGTATGTACTTGACCCGATGGTGCATGGTCCTTTTGGGTTGCCTTCACCAAAGCAACTTGATTGGAGAAATAAATAGAGAGAGAGGTTATTATGATTTATTAATATGTTATAAGAATAATATATTAAAGGAGAAATCATATTTGTTTAATTAATATTGGTCAATAATTAATTAGGAATTAATTTTGTGATCAAGTGTAATTAATTAAACTAGAGGGGTTGAATTGTAATTATGTGATAGTTACAAAATAAGGTAAGGATTATCTTATTAATGGGTTGGACGAATTCTAAGGTGATAAGGCCTTAGAATTCGACTAGGATAAGGGTTTCTAAGACTTATCTTATGGTTACTTGGTGGGCAAGCAACTAGATAAGGATAAGGACTAAAACCCTAATCTTTACACCTATATAAACCCCCTAAGGCTCAGAATTCGGGTATCCCTTCCCAAGAGGTCCTAGAGACGAATTCTTATACCTCTCCTCTCTCTTTATAACTTCTCCATTTGCTCTTGGTGTTTGTAAGCCATTAGAGGAGTGACACTTGTGACTCTAAGCCTTCCAAAGTCAATTCAAGGAGGAATTAGGATTGTTATTGCTACATAACAATCAAGGTAATATCTTAAACCTAATTATATGTTAATATCGATTTCCATATGCTAGAATTAGGGTTTATAGTCTTGGATTCAAAGCATGTACAATAGAGAAACCTAGATCCAAGCATTAGGGTTTGTATGAGCATATATGATGTCTTATGACCAAAACCCATCAAAAACGTCCAAAAATCATTCCATAATAAGCATATTGTTATGGAGGTCTCCAAACTCCAAGAACATCAATAAAGTGGACATTTAATGAGCAAAAACACTTCCGCTCCAAGGATCTAAGTATGAAACAACATAAAGTTGGAAAGTTTAAGACTTACAAAGCTTGTAATGGGTCTAGAATGTGGAATCGTATGTTGGAATGAGCTTCACAATGTACCAAGGACTTTCTTTTTCACTAAGAAGTTATCAAGAACACTCAATAACACACAAGGGGGCTAGTGTTTGCTTTCTGGATGTGGAGGTTGAGGATAAGAGAAAACCCTACATGTTCGATCCTTTATTAGGGTCTAAAACCCAAGTCATGGGGTTTTGGGCTGTTGCAGCCTCTATATAACTAGGTCAATGATGTCCTCTATCAAGTCGATTAGGATGCGTTGGAGAAATGTCAGTTTCCTTAATAGCTATTTCAAATTCATATTCATAGGTAGGAAAACTATAGGTTCTTCGTTGGTTGACTCTTGAAGACCACAAAAAACTAATCTTCAAGAAACCTCTCGTCCCTTTGAAACTCTTGGACCTTAAAGTAAGAGACAAGAGAAAGATTTGACTAGTTACACTAACTAGATAAACTAATGTGACTAGTAAAGGTTATTGGGATCCTAAGTGTCTAAAATTTTATACATGACTTATTAAATCACACTATATGATATAATAACTAGTTTATACTCTCTTTAATTATTATTTTCATAAAACAATAACTATTCTCTAATTAAATGCAAGAGTTGATTACATTTATTAATAAATATTCAATATGTGCCAACTTGCTAAATGTGTGATCCTATATTATTTATGTTATTGAAAAACATTATTCTAAAATGATTCTTGAGTATATAGATCCAACAAAAATATCAACTATAATTTCTAGATAACAACCTCTATTTATAGACTGAGGATAAAACATAAAACCCCAATAGGTCAGGCTCATCCATTCATAAGCTCAAATGGATGTCAACCAATCATATGACGCCATGCACCTAGTATCTTCAACCTTGAGGTAATGTACATGACCACCTTCTAAGCACATAGAGTGCCTTTGACCATGCATGTAGTGCGTTCTCCATGAATGCAACACACTCATGAAGAACCATCACTAATAGAACCTTTGTGCCAAAGATAGAAAATTAGCATCAAAGAGTACCTTTACACCAAAAGAACACCTTTAGAAGAACCAACGCATCTAGGAGCGCACTCTCCATCGGTCAAGAGAACCAACACATCCTCCATGCTTATTAGCACAATCTCTCTTCAACTAGAGCGCTTTTAGAAAAACTTAACGCATTATGATGTCTCCATAGGGCGGAGTGTATTCTGGCATGCCAGGAGTACCTTTGGCAAAAACCTTAAATGTTTTGGCCAAATGTTCTGTTATGATTCATAATTGCTCCATCTTGATCCCAAATAGTCAAGTGAGATTTAACAAAAACTCATACACATGTAACGTATGTTAACAAAAACTCATAGACATGTAACATATAATTAAAGAAAACATGTCTAAATAGTTTAAAATAGACTAATTTGATATTAATTCGAGTGATGCAAATGTTAAACATAACTCTTTATGTGGGAAACGCTAACACTTTTTATCAAGACCACTTGAAAAGAACTTACAATTTTGAGAGACTGCTATACTTTGCTTTCTTGAAGTATTTATTGAACCGGTGATTGTTAGATAGTTTGGAGCAAATGAGCTCTTATTTATAGGTATTTTTACATCCCTATAAGAAGTTTTTAGATCTCACACATACTACATAAATTCATGACCATTCTAGAATTATCTACTATATTTTATATTTATTAAAACCTTTTATACGTTTTTAGAATGTTCTAGATAAGTCTAGGACGTTCTTGTGTCTTCAATAGTCTTCGAGAATGTTCTATATCCTTCTAAGATCTTCCATATCATTCTAGAACATTCTAGTCTCTCGGTATGTTGTGGAATCTTCCATAATGTTCTAAAATCATCTAAAGATCTTTCAAAGCATCTAGAACAATCTAACTTCTTTTATATGATGAGATAAAATCCATCAGGTTACATATGGTCATATTTGTTGAAATGAAGATTCAATACACAATTGATTTGTGTAGAATGAAAGTTACACCTAGAAACACAACACAAGTAAAAAACCAAACCACTTTATGATCATATATATAGCTATACACATAATTAAGCTCAATCGAACTTATTGCTCCCCAAACTACGTAAAAAAAAGTTAAATACCTTTTGGAAGCAAAATAATAATTCCCCCAACTAGCTCCTGGTTGTTTAGGTTCTGCAACTTGCTAAAACTTCTGTCAACATCAAGTTATCGCCCAAAATCACCCATTCAACTTTTCAACTAAAACCTCATCACAAATGGCTTCAAATACACATCATTTAGATCCTAAAAGCATCATGTTGAATTCCTATTCATCTTTTTTCCAAAATCCGCCAATAACATAGATTAATACCTTCAAAATTCCTCAAGCTCGATTACTCAACAAAATCGAAACCATAAGATACCTCAAACTACTAGGAATTTATCAATCTCAAATACAATGAACAACACCTATTGCCTTTATTACAGTCATTAACCACACAGGAAAAAAGATTGATGAATTAAATGAAACTGACTTTACTTTTTCTTTTTCCTTTTTCTTTCTACAATCGACATAGAGTAAACATAAAGATTTTTTTGTTATAAAAGAATTATCTTGAGTTCGCTACACGATGTAAGAAGGTGAGTTTCTGTTGGCCACTTGTAAATGACGAAGCCCCACGTGCCCCTGTTGCCGCCATTGCCCAATCGCCTAAAACCTCTGCTACCGAGGCCTGTGCCTCATCGGTACGTGGCGTTTCCTCATACATCCACCGTCATGAGTCGCCATGGCAGGACATGTGTCATCTTCTCCATCGTCCTACCTTCTGCTACTACTTATCACCACCTCCATAGCCCATCTCTCTCTCCACTTTATCTCTCTTGCAACTTGTTTGTTGTTGCAGCAACCAATTATGGATGCAATTAGGGCATCGCCGGCGGATTTTGACCCCATGGTGAAGATTGAATTGGAGGCGGCGGAAGCTTTGGCTGGATTAGCTCATTTTCCTGCTACAGTTTCCGAATCTCGCGGTAGTGAATCAATTGCTGAACGAGTCAAGGACGAGTCTAATTCCTCCTTTGACACGAGTCATTCATACGAGGTTCGTCACTAATTTCCCAATTATTTGAATCTTAGGGTTTTTTTTTTTTTTTTTTACTCCATGAAGAACGTCAAAACATCTGTTTCTTTCTTCACAAAATTACAACCTGAATCTAGGAACAAATCTGATTCCTATGAATCAGTGAGGAGCATGAGAAATAACAATTCAATTAGATGGTTTTCATCACCTTTGATTTTCGGAGTTTTCCGTTTTCCATTTCCATCACAGATCTATTTTGCTTTCAGCAATTACACATTCCTAGGAAGATCGCCATTAAAATATTGTTTTCTGTTGATTACACCAACTACTTTTGGCATCACTTTTTCTCTCTTATGGCTTACATACACTTATATATATGTACGGATGTAAACGATCTGAGACCCACATTAGCGTGTGGTTTGTCTTTTTCATTGATTGAAGTTTGTTGACAATGACATGAGAGAACATGAAACTGTTATCATGATTTTCATTGGGTTATAATTATATACATAATCGTGTAAGATTTGAGATTCTTTTTGTCTTTCTTTTTTGTTTTAATGAGCAAAATTCAACAAATTTACGCAGAAAAAGTCAGGGAATTCAGGGATCTTGAATCAGAAGTTGGTGAAGGATGAACAGAGTATTGACCTTAGACTTAATCCTGGGTATCCCACCAATTGTTCATCGAGTGGGAGGAAATCTAGACAAAATCTAACTGAGGTTTGAATTTTGAAAACATTTATTTATTTATTATTTATTTTGTGTGCTAATTTTTAAAGCTTTCTTGAAGGCTGAAATGGAAGCACGTAAAATACGTAGGGTGTTAGCGAATAGAGAGTCAGCAAGACAAACAATACGTAGGAGACAGGTATTAATGAATAATGAGTAATTATTTTCCAAATTAAAATACATTATAATTTTATAAACTTATGTTTTTTTTATATCTTTATGATAATTTTGCAAGGCTATTTTTGAGGAGCTAACAAGAAAGGCTGTTGATTTAGCATGGGAGAATGAGAATTTGAAAAAGGTTTGTACTTTTTTCTTAATACAAGTTTTAGTCATTTAAGTTTTACGTAATATACTTTTGTATAATTTTGCTACACGTTATGGACATATAACGTGGGAAGTTTCTTAAAATAGTTTCATTACATAGAAATTAAGTTTCGATTTTTTGTTGACATTTTTAGAACATTGGAATGAAATGGACTTAGGTTACCGTTTTATAAAATTGTTGCAATGCGTCAACAAAAATACAAAATATTATAATAAGGGATCAAAAAAATACAAAATTTTATAATGATGGAACAAAAATGAAAAATCGGACGTTAAGTGGCGTTTTGATTTTATGTAAAACTGAATATGTCACGTTTTTTTTTTCATAGGAGAAGGACACGGCTTCGAAACAGTATGATTCTTTGAAGACGAAGAACGAACGCTTAAAAGCACAGGTGAAAATAAAATCAAGAATAAATTTACATGTTTGGTCCCTATATTATTATGATGTTTTCTAAATATGGTCAAGAAGCAACTTCTTTTGCATTTGTATCACATTTCACGTTTCATAATATGTTATGGACCACATAATTCAATCTTCAAAATATGAACAGAATCAAAATCAATAGTCGAATAGCGAACACTAATCACAAAAAGCAAAAGATTCCTTTTTCGATATCAATCAATTTTGCAACATTCGAAAAATTTAGAAAAAATAAAATAAAAAAATAAAAACATCTATCTAATACAAATCTATTCATGTAGATGATCAAAGTTACAAATCTTGAAACCGATGAAACCCATGAAAAATCCACTACTTTAAACGAACAAGCGATTTCCTCATCATCGACAAATTCACCATTTATAATATACAACCAACCACCTTTCTTACCCGTCATATGGCCATCCATGATCCACCCTACAAACTCCGGCCAACTACCCGCCGGAATAGTTTTTCCGGTCAATAAAACCGATTCAAGTGAAGAAGGGAGTTCAACAACCGGAAGTCCGTTGTATTTACTACCCTACCCCTGGCTGGTTACCCTACCCCAAAACACCACCCAACCCCAGCCCCAACCCCGCCACCATTCTTTCAATCTAAACGACAAACCGAAAGAGTGTTCCGAGTTCCGGGAATTCTTCCCGGAAAAAGCATCAGAAACACCTAACCACCACGGTTTCCCACCTGATGGTGGCGGCCGACAGACACCGGAGCCACCACGTGTGAGTTGTGAAGCACTTATTGAACATGATAGTGAGGAAATTGATGGTGAAATTCACAAAGTTCCTCTGTGCTCAGGTAAAAGATTAGGTGGTGACGTGGCGGCTGCCGCCGAAGCCAGGAAAAGGCGTAAACAACTCACGAGATTAAAGGGCCACTTTCATTGCCGTCAACTTAGGATGCATTAGTGGTACTGCTACTGGTACTTGATATCTGATATCTGATATCTGATATTGACGATGGATTTGTGAGGGAGTGTGAAAGTAAGTTGTTATTTTTTGTGGCGTTTGGGTTGAGGCTAATATGTGAGAATGAAGATGTATATAAGGTGTTGAGGGAGGACTTATGATATAGTGTTTTGAAGTGGCTGATAATGGTCACTCTCAATTTAATAAGCGGATGCTAGCTTTCCATATGTTGTAGTTCATTGATGCGAAATGAACGCCACTAGTGTCTAGTCATATTTCCCTTGAGGAAGACGAATACGATAGAATTGGATTTGTGTTTTTATCTATAGTCGAGTATTTTTTTTTTTTTTTTTGGTATTTATGATGTGGGATATTTTGTTGTTGTTCAAGGACACAAATAGTTAAAACGTTATGTTATACATTTTTTTTATCAAGTTTTGTGATGGTGTTTATCTTTCATTAAATTATGTAATTGACACAAATAGTTAAATACGTTCTACTAGTGAAAATTTTGGACTCAACTAGAGATGTAGTATAGCATGCATCTCTCCCATCGTCCCACTTGGTTGCATGCTTATGTCGAGTATTGTGAAAGTTGGCACTTGGCTATGATGAATCATATATTTAAAATATTAATTGAAAATGGTAATTGGTTTGTATTGTAGAATTGCAAGATTTTTGTATTTGTCGTTAAATGTGTAGTTGGTAAATACGCAACTTTATCCAAATTGTAACTCGAAAGTTATTTTATGTATTATTGGATATATTTTTTTCATGCTACTTCGGTATGAATGAGGTCGAGATGCAGCAGCCTCTAGCGGGAAGTATGTGATGTGGTTTTGGAGTCTCTCCCTTTTGTGTATTTTGGCGTTCCTAAACACTTGAAAATGTCAAAGATGGAGGGGTGGAAGTCATGATATTTTGGCTTCCTAAGACTTGAAAATGTCAAAGATGGAGGGGTGGAAGTCTTATTGTTAACACTTAACAGGTTCACGACGAAAGAAGAATTAAAGGTCTTTATGCTTTTTTACAGTAACCGTTTGTATATTTAAAAAATATATGAAAAAGAGAAGAATTAAAGGTCTTTATGCTTTTTTACAGTAACCGTTTGTATATTTAAAAAATATATATGAAAAAGAGTTTTAGCTAATAGAAAATTAACATATTACATGTACATCCCCACAATATATATTGCTATTTTTCGTCTCTATATATTTTTTGGTTTCAAATTTTAACCACATGAGTTATGTATATTTGAAGGATTGTACACTATTCGTAGTCTCTTAGTGGTGGTAACCTACTAGTTTATTATTATTTATGTTTCTTAACGACTTGTTAGTTCATAAAATCCAGTCGATTATAATAGGCTAATATGGTATGAAATTATTCATAGTAATCGACCCAATTATTGCATTTAATTTGAAAAATAAATTTTGATTAAAAGACAACTCAACATCTTTACAAAGATAAAATGACTGAAAAAATCGAACATACCAAATATTTAAAAGAACACTTTTCTACTATTAATAAGCTTGCATGGTGTCCATATATTTTACCGATGAAAATCTATACAGACATCATTACCAGTGATAAACACTGTATCCTGAAGTTTTTTTCACAATCGGTATTATACCGATGACATTATTTCGCTGGTGGCAAATGTGAGGCAAATGACTCTCTCTCTTTCTTTCTCTCTCTCTCTCTCTCTCTCTCTCACACACACACACAACTTTAGTTATTGTATTATAACTAATTATTGTATGAATATAAGAATGATTGTGAGGCAGTCATTTTACTTATTTTAAGAAAGTGATTAATACATATTATTAAATAAAAAAATTGAAAAATATCATCTAATTTTATTCTAAAGGTATTTTAGTCAACTAACATAAATTTAAAAAAGAAAATTTCTAGATTTTAGGGAATAATTAATTCTCTAAAGTGTAAAATTTTGATTTTTTGGATAATAAACATATAAATTCTGACATTATAAAAGAATACATTTATCATTGTCTTGAAAAAAAAACATTAAATAATGACAGAACACTATAAACATATATTATCAAGATTAATAATTTTTAATGAATACAAATTTTATTATCTTAAAATCAGTAATTACATTAATTCTTAACAAAATACAACTATGAACATCCATAAATAACATTTATTCTGAAATAATATAAGTAATAATGGTTAACAATTAAATTTATTTTTAAAAATACAATTGAGAGTAGTTAAAAATCAAATAAAAACATTGAATTCTAAGTAAAACACTAATACATTCTGATAGAATATTGTTGTTAATTCATTCTGACAGAAAAACATGCTAATCCATTCTGAACGAATATTATTATCTTACTTTCTATTCTTCACAAGGCTTCAAAGTGACTTCTCAATTGTTTTTGCCTCTACACATAGAATGTCTTTGTACTCATCATCTCAAATCAGCCATGGCTTTTGTATTTCCATATATAAAAGTAGCTATAACATCGGACACTAATCTGGCCTTAAGAGATTGTGTTTACCTTTGGAGAGACTACAACGCCATATAAAGAGATAAAACTAGAGGCAATAGTGGTAACTTGATTAAAAGTTATTGATTAAAGTTACTTGAAGAATCAATTACTCAAGAAGAAAGAATACTTACAAAAATATAATATCCTTAAAAACGATTTGAGAACAAAAGTCACCATCTTGGAAAATCCTCCAAAAGCACATCTCGAATATTAAAAATCCTTAAAAATCAAACCCAACAATAAATCCACCCAATTGAAAATCTACTGCGAGTCTAAAGAGAGAGGTAAATAAATCTGACATTAACCCAAACACCATTACAATAGTTAAAATTGATAAACCTTTAGAAATAGATTCAATATAATTTATAATTGGATGGATAATTTAGTACCTGGTTTTAAAGGAGAAAAAGAAGTCATAAGATTCCACATATATCTTGACTAATATGGCAAACAAAAAAAGTCGGAGCCGCTGGGGAGCAGTGGCTGGAAAATGGAAACAGAATGAATGGAGGCATGGGGCTCTTTCGATTTAGAGGTGGAGGGTTGCTGTCGCCGGAGGGCAAGAATCGATGGAGAGATAGAGTCGACCGAGGGGGTGCTGGAGGCCGGCGGCGTTGATGGGGGTGGTACTAGTCTACTAGAGGTGAGTGTCGTTAGTATTAGAGGGTGTTTGGGAGTGCTTTTTTAACTAGAAAAGTGCTTTTAGATAAAAGTGCTTATTTGTTTATAGTGGTGGTAAAAAGAGTTTTTTAAAAAGTTTTTGGATAAGCTTTTATAGTGAAAAAACCAATAAGTCAATAAGTTAAAAAGTGTTTGGCTTAAAAAGTGCTTTTTGAAGTTATTTTGGCTGAAAAGCCATAAGCAGTTTCAAAAAGTCACGTTTTCCATGCTTATTAAAAAGTGCTTATTGAAGCTTATGGAAAAGCTATTCTAAAAAGTGCTTTTGAGTTTACCAAACACTTTTTTTTGGCTTATTAGCTTTTCAAAAAGCCAATAAGCAAATAAACACTTTTCAAACGCAATCCCAAACACCCCCTTAGATGAAGGAATATCAGCAACATAGACGAATAGGAAGTAGGTCGGTGGCGGAGATAGATATGTAAAAATCGGTTGTCTCAGTGAGGATGAAGAATATCGACTTCTTTATGAGCTTTGTGTGTGTTTGTGCTGTCGATCAAATAAAAGGCCAAACATCTAGGTTTAAGGAGTCAATTTCTTTAGCATAATTATAAAAATTAAGTATGAAAGTTATTTTTTATACTAATTAATTATATTTAAGATTAAAATAATTAAATTAAAAATATTAAGTAAAATGTAAGATTACAAAACTATATCTTTGAAATGATTGGCCTATATTGATTCCTACATCCATATAATAATTATTTAGAATACTTGAACCCCTCTCTCTCTCTCTCTCTCTCTCTCTATATATATATATATATATATATATATATATATATATATATATATATATATATATATATATATATATATATATATATATATATTATCTAAAACTACTCGACATCAATGTGAGCGAATATTTTCTTTTAATTATTATTCTTTTTTATTTATCTTACAATATATATTAGACTACTAGGTGTAGACTATATGTTATTACATGTTACCACACCCAAAAGGTACCATGTCAGCATCCCACACATACATGAGTGTTATAACACCTAAGGTGGAAATGGACAATATCTAATAACATGTAATAACACTAATTATTTTCTATATTTTTTTTTTTTGATGTTTTTTTTTATATTTCGAATTTGTTTTTTTTATTTATTTATATCATAGTATTTATATTTATCATATAACTTAAATTGTACATTAAAAATAACATTTAAAAAGTAAAAATAAAATTTTAATAAATCTTAAATTAAAAACAACATTAAAAAAAATTACAACAAAACACAAAAACATTTAAAAACCTAAAAAGCAAAAAAAACTGATAAAACCTATATTTTTTGGCCTAAAACTATTCATCTTCATCTTCATTGTCACACCTCCAAACCTGAACGACGGAAACATTCGAGGGCGGAGGATATCATGTATAGTATCATAACAAATGAATAGTAAAGAAAGTACACACAACCATCATATACATAATTGATGGTTTTACATGATTGTAGTATTACATGTTTGCAAAAAATCAATTACAATATGATATCCAAAAGATTAAACTAACGCCTGAGCGTGAGTCTTCAAAAGCAGTTGCTAACCTGATTTAGCGATTTCCTGAGAATACAAGTTATTTCAAAGAAAAAGTGTCAACATTTAAGTTGGTGAGTAGTGTTTTGATAAAATGTATGTCATTCGAAAGTTCGTGTATGTTTTCCAGAAAATCCGATATTTTCTTAATAAAGTGGGTTGTGAATCATTGTTGTATAAAGTGAATGTTTGAACCAGGAAAATCCTATATTTTCCTAAATGAGATGCAGTCTTAAATGACCATGACTGTAACGTGTAAGCAAATATGCCATGCCTAGAAATGAAGATGTATAATTTTATTATTAAGTAAAACTAGTTGTGGAAGTGTTTTAACTGAATTCTGAACATGCTGATAATACCCTATAATATAGTTATTACCCCCCGAGCATGATTGAGTTATGTATTACTACGTGCATGAGTCATTGTTTCCGCGTGTTGTGAGTTCCTCATAACCATACTAGACGCAGTACCTAATGTTGACATTTGTCACCCCGGGGACTGTAGCTAACTGTCAGGGTGCGGAGTCGTCAACCCCATATAGATCTATACATACTTTTCACACTCTCCCTCCAAGAAACTTTGGTTATAGGTGGGGACTTTTTTTGGTACAAACAAAGCCATATGACATCACATGATT